AATGGAAGGAGACAAAAGGACAATAGATGTTAGGAAAGAAGGAGCAAACCACACCGAAGCACCCATCAACCACCCACTAGGATTTAAAGAAGACAAAAATCACTGGTCTCAAGTTATGTAAACTAACACAATAAATTATGAAAACATTCACAAAAGAAACTTCATATTAAAACTACATGCATGTAGGTATACAAATGGATATGTACATACAAACTAAGATATATATATATATATATATATATGTATGAAGATACAAGATATCATTAATTAAAGAGATAAAAAAATAAATAAGGGAGTTACAACCAAAATAATAGAAATTGTTCCGTGGCTTTTTATCTTTTCCTGCACTGTATTTTAAAGGAAAAAAAATGTTTGCCATAGTTATTAATGAAAGAGAATCATGAGGCCATAACATCTTGGGCACAAGACTTGACACCCACCAGACGGTGACATACCACAAAAAGCTCTTCGATGACACACTGATGTAAAAAGGTTGCCAGCAGGCTACACGCCCATTGTGTCACATGATAAGTTTAGACCAATGAGGAATCTGCAGTAATACATTTTATACAGGTGAATGTAAACTTTTCTGAGCAAAGAATTAACGATGAATAATTTTGAGTTGTAAATATTGCTGTCTCAGTTTGCCTCTATAAACCATATCACATCAAAAGTGCCTTAAATCATTGTGAACAAACATATATAGAAAATGTGAAACATGATATGAGGTTGGTATCATGGTGAGTTTATACAATGTGCACAACTATTTGGTACATAACCAAAAACAAATAAACCCCATATCTTTCTACATCCTTACAGTAACAAGCATGAGCAAATGATCAAGAGGGGATTTTTCTTCTCAGTTTTGGCAAAGTTTTACAATACTTGCAACACAAATGGGCCATAACATAAGTGCCAAAGATTAAAGGTTTTACCAGAGAGTAACATACAAAGAAAAGAAGGAGGAGAGATAAGGACAATAAATGTTTGATAGAAGTAACAAACCACATCAGATTCAAAGCACCCACCAACCACCCATTAGAATTAGAAGTTTTTCATGTCTCCCTGGTCAAGACGAGGATAAAATTCAAAACGCAAAAGAGCGTAAACACCCCCCCCCCCCCCCCCCAGTCATCAACTGCAACGCTCATACTGTAAGAACATTAGCAACAACACTGTAGATGTAGAGCTTTCCATATAAGGATCTCAATTGGAAACGTGACTTTTTTATGAAATGTTGCTGTTCTTATGCCCCCATTGACACAATTTACATTATTTAGGAGGCGGGCTTCTCACCCTGCCTGTTAGGTCTGAGAGGGATATAGCATCCCAGCAGATAGGCTGAGACACTCGATAAAAATTCTCCTCACTCCATGATTATTAAACTCGGGGCTCCTGGTCACGACAGTGAAGCACTTATCTGCAACACCAAAGATGGCAGAGAAAACACGGGGACAGAACACGCAAGTCGAAATAAAAAGAGTCAAACAAAAAGGCACAAAGTGAGAGCAAGGAACAACAGCATAAACCCAGGCAGATCAAGGTAGATCAATAGAAATACTGGCATCAAAATGTAAATAACAACAAAGTCACAGTCCTTCCGATATTCCATTACAACTGAAGCATAAAAACAAATATTGATGACCAAATGTTCATATGTACTAAGCCCCAAATTTAGACCAAAAAATATTTAAAAATTCAAAAAAATTCATGGTTTCTTAATCAGAGGAATTGGTTGCATGTGCTACAGAAATGTTTTGTCACAATTAATATTCTAAATGTTCAGAAAAGAAAAACCAAATATGCAACAAGTAGGTACAATTGTTAAAACAATGAAGGTTTTTTTTTTCCACTCTCCTGAAAAACTTTGCTTTCTAGGCTTAGAACAATTGAACAGCTTGCCAAAAATATTATATTATATTACGTTCCATAGTTATATATATGAATGAAAAAACGGTTTCAGTGGAATTCAACTCCACTTGTGAATCAAAGAAAGCTGTCTGAAAATCCCAATACTGACAACTAAACATTGAGCTCTGACAGAGCTGAGAGAAAAGTTACAAGTGCTACAATATCATCAGTGTCCGGCTGTAACAATGTGTCTGCCAAAGTAGGTCAAACACATTTGGGGTGGGTAAAATGTAATTTCTTTCTTATCATTATCATCTTCTAGAATTGTTCAAAATTTTGAGTACTGTTCACTTTACTTATTACAGTACCACCTATTATAATTGTGTGTGTAAAAATACATGATTTCAGACAACATACGAACTGACCTAATTTGGCGGCTACACAAACTGAGTCGGACACCGACAACATACAACATTATGTAAAGACTTCAACTCTGGTCTTCAACGCTTCTTTTAAGTGTCTCAGCAACAGAGTCAACGGGAGGCCGAACAATGAGGCACACAACACACTGACGGAACAGAAAGTAATAACTTATTTTAAAATACTCAGAAAAGTATAATTAATAGTTCCCAGAAACAAAACATCCATGAACTAAGATCACAACAAAATACACACATTTACACTTCTCATTTTTCAGGCGTTTTTAGCTTCTACAAAATAAAATCAAAGCAGACAAGTCTTTTCTAATATCATCAAAAATATGATCTTAATCATCAATGCATTTTGATAACACGGCAATGTGTGTCCTCTAAAAAATAAAATTGTATAAACGTTTTTTCTCAATCTTAAAAAGCCACAACGGAACATCATGTGGACGTTTGTTGCAGTCCTCATAACAAGCTTGAAACTTTACAAAAAAAAAAAAGTTGGAATCGTCACATTAACAATACAAAACCAATGCAGTAAACACATAACTTTATAGATTGTAAAGTGAATAGAGCTTGCTGTTGAGCAGGAATTTGGGCTATACAAATGCTTTCTATTATTGTTATTATTACTATTAACTATTATTATCACTTTGATGAAATAAAATACAGCAAAAATGTTCAGCACTACTAAAAAATACATACAAGCTGGCCGTGCAAAAGTAAAGAACATCACAGAGATTTAACCAAGGAACAGCGGAAAAATTCAAAGCGATGCTTCATGGTTTTCAAATAAATAAAATCAAGTCAACAAAATGTTCACAGAGAACGATGCAAATAAATAGGGCCATAGAATGTGACAACTGCTCTCCACAACCAGTGCAGGCACACAGCCACACATAATATAACAACAAGAAAAATTATGATGATTATAATGATGATGATGGCTATCCACAGAATTCTAATGCCCAGTTATATAACTTCAACATAACCCAAGAGGCAAATGTTAATTTATGATTTTATGTGAACATGATATTTAGGACTGGAAAAATCTAACATGAATAGAATATTTAGCTGTAAGAAAAAAAAAAGAGCAGCATCGGCGGCCATGTTCAAGAGATTAGCCAGGGGGGGGGGGGGGGGGGGGGAAGTCTTCCCATTTATGGTAAGTTACCTACAATGGCCGTGTTCTACACATCAGTCGTGCCCTATCTCATAGAAGAAGGCCACATAGCAGCAGTTTTGGTGAGCAAAGGCTGAAAAGGAGCTGCCCTCTGGTAGAAAGAAAAGTTTTAGCAGAGAAAAATCTATAAAATCCCAAAGATTTATAACGAGGCCACGTATATCGATATATATGAATAAATAAAGGCCAAATATAATACTAGAACTATACATATACAAAAGTCATCTGCTCTAACCAATCGCGAATATGGCTTCCTGTAACTTGGACCCAAATACGTATTATTTCTCATCGTTGCCACAGAGTGGAACATGTTTTTGTTTTATTCTGTGCCACTGGTGTCACTGGAGAGTGATCTACTAGGAAAAGACGGAGGAGAGAAATAAATGATAGATTCTGGATCAGAAAAATGGAGAAAGCCACACCAGCGCACCCATCAACCACCCACTAATGGTGACATATTACAAGACCTCTACTGAACCAGCAAATAGATACAAGCCCATCTCCATTTTTCCCAGTATAATTTTTGCTGTCCCCTAGTACAAACAGCAATTCACTCGATCCAAGAACCAGCCTAGTGGTAAAAAGACTAGGTGAACCTTCTAATCATAACTTTGCACTTTCCAGGCATCAACAGTTTAATCTTGAGAGAAAGCAAAGAAAATCAATCAAAACACCAATCCCTTCACCTTCCCTCTATCTGTTCACCTTCCTTCCTTTCCTTTACACACCTGTGTGGTCTTCAGTACCTTCAAGTGGTTGGTCATTACGATTGAGTGAGAGAAGTCAAATTTTAAAAAGACAGAAAGTTGATAGAATTACCTGGTCTATTCACTCAGCGAGCCATGACCGAGACTCTGTACAAGTGAGCAAAACCAGTCCTATTTTGGCAGTTGTAATATGAGGGAACACACACACAATTTTTAAACATTGAAACCTCCTCCCAGCGGCTCGCAGTCAGAACCCCTGTGCCGGTGAGCCGCTCGGGCACATTCCTTTACGACGACTTCGACATCAAATTACTTTTCGGCAAATGCCAAAAACAGGTCTCTTATACCGGAAGTTCATTCATTAGATGAAGAACTATCAAAATAGGTTTGCTAGTGTCGATTTAATGACCCATTTAATGATGTTTGTCATTTTTAGATTTAGCACCAAAAAGGGCCCCTGCATAGTGGGTTTCCCCCCTTGGAGATAAAGAGCTTGAAAATATCCCAATATTATTTCTGATTAAGAAATTCTTTTTCAAGAGCCAGATTTGAAAATTGAAACAGACATCAGTAATCAAAAATATGAAACAAAATAAAAAGGGGAGGGTAAAGTTGATGAGTAAAAAGTCATAAAGTCATAAAACCTTGAAAGTAAAACAAATCTCCAAACCAGGATAGCATCTCAGTATACAAGACGTGGTGTTCCAAATCAGATCTTCAAGTTTAAAAACATTTAAATGACAACAAATTACATTACATGCAACATTCATTTTGAGTTTTAGTACCTCATCCTTCTCCAACCCAATCATATTACTGCACATTAAAGCATGTTAGTTTTTTTAATGCATAAAAATACAATATCCTACTACGAAGCACAAAAATATGGTATTATTTATAAGAATTAAAATACTGCATTTTTCAACTCTTGCATGTGTTAACTCACTGACACTTGACACAAGTGGTACATCTTTGTCAAAATAAGCCGCTGAAGTTGGACATGTGACTAAAACTTCAGTCTATCAAACATCTGGCTCTAAATTTAGTAATATTTTTAGGTCTGTCTTGCGAATTAAATTTCCTGTGTTTTAGCAAATAACACACAAACCACAGATAATGTGACTAAATAATATTTTTTTCAAAGTGTGTACCATTTCATTGCTCTCATTTCTCTTTACAATATCCCCTGAAGTCTGTACGTACGACTGAAAAGTATTCTTACATATGTGACATTCAATGATAAACAAGACAAACTCTGGAAAAATAATGAGGGGGAAAAAATAGGGTCATTTTAAAAACCTATCACTCCAAAACTAATTATGATAATTTTGTTTCTGTTTTTTTTAAACAACTTTTATTTATACATATATATATATATGTGTATAATACCAATTTTTGTGTAAATTAAAAAAAAAACCCAAAAAAAACCCATCACTCAGCTGGTCTTTGGGAGTATATTCAGCCAAAGTTGCTGGTGTTCAGTGAGTTAAATACATGCAATAACAGAAAAAGAATCACTTGCACATCAGTAGGTGCAAGATATTCTGGTATAAAGATTACAAAAAATGACAATCTTGTTCTAAACGACCTCATAATTTTTATATAGTAGCAAAGGATTCCATATGAATAAGTCCATGAATTAAAAAAAAAAAATGCTGGATAAAAATTAGCTGGTCAGCTGTTTCGCCTCCTTTTTCACGTCTCCCTTGTCTTGTTCAAAGTACATGAAGTCCTGAAAACAGAAAAATATTTTAAAAATTGAAAAGGACAGGAGCACAGAAACAACATCAGTAAGCACGGACAAATTTTTCTCTTTGTTGCGTCTTTACCAGAGACTCAAAAGACTCATACAATTTAATTTTGGGTTCTCCCGAGCCCCTATGTGCTCGAATCTATACGGTTAATCGATAAATACTGGGTTGCTTCCTTGTCAAGAAATCAAATCCAAGCAACCTCTATATAGTTTACAGGAAAGAGGAAAAAACTGTTTCAGTTCTTTTACAGATTGTGTCTACATTAATTATGTATCTTTTCTTGCTCATTTGGAATTTGAAGTTCCACCAAATATTTCTTGAACACATGCAACTGATACCACAAATCAAAGAAAGAGCAATAAAATATATTTTTGTATTTGGGATAAGTACATCTGAACAGCTTGCAAATAGTATGATTTACCATAAGCCAGATAGGCTCAAGCTAAAGGAGCCCAAGAAACAAGCTCAAAAATACACATTACACTAGTGCCAACTTGCTAAGAAAAATACTTCTGAACATGTCCGATCCTTTGGACACAAGGACTCAAATTTACAGATCGTAGTCTAATACATCTAGCAGCAAGACTATTTTTCAACAAAGTGCAATATGATATAATGCATAAGTAGGACCAATGTATAATTTCAGAAACCTGAATTTCAATATTTATTCAGAAAATTGGCACTTCTGACAGAAATACTATATCTCAAGGAGTCTCTGGTCCTGTAAAAACTATAGTTGAGACCACAATCACAAGCATAAAGTCAGACAGACGTACGATCAAAAAGACGGCCCCGAGGGTCGTGGCCTTGGTCTTGACGTCCAGGTCAATTGGGAAGGTCACGCCAAAGTTGTCGGCGTCAGTGAAGATTTCCTTGGCCAGGCCCGACCACTGCTTGGTGATCTGACCCACATGGGTGGACTCGTCGGGAGAGGTCACCTGCAGGACCGAGGACGTTAGAGACACATGTCAGTAGGAGATAATGTTTGTTTGTTGAAGTTAAGAGAAGAACATCTACACAACAACAGTCACCAAATAATAAAAACAATAAAAATAATGATAATAATAAAAATGATAATATTAATATTAATTACAATAAAAATTAAATAACAATACAGGGTGTCTAAAGAATAAAAAAGACCCACTAAAAAGGCAATATCTCGGTCACCTCTGCACTGATTTCAACAAAACTTCGAAAAAAGAAAATTCAGCCAGGGGAATGTCATGCTTATAAATATGACGAAAATCAATCAATGTGTAAAAAAATATTGCGTTTTAAATTTTCTGCCAAAACGGGGTGAAATGCCAAACTTTGCCTTCTGTTCAGCTACAGGGATGTGATTACCTGTTCTGGTTTTAGGACAAGGATGGTAGAACCATGACAAGTCATATTAGATGGATATAGAGAGTTACATATAAAGAAAAGAAGTACTCTACGTACTCTATGGTATTGGATAAAAGTGGTCCAAAATTAATAAACGGGGGGGTGGGGGGGTGGCACTTTCAACCCCATATCTCTGTACTAGTGGGAACAAATCTGTATTTATTTCTCCTTCAGTTAATAAAAGAACAAGAGATCATGAA